GGGAACACAAGCAGGGGGAGCAACAGAGGGAGAAGGAGAAGCAGACTCCCCGCTGACCGAGGAGCCCAACCCAGGGCTCAATCCCAGGACCCTAGGACCATGACCCAAGCCAAAGGCAGACACTTAACGACTGAGTCACCCAGGCGCCCCATGAACACATTTTTAAGTGCCTCCGAGTGCTCTTGCTGGGTTGTATGTTGAGTGTATGTAATGCTGGTTAATTTTAGAAGAAACTGCCAAACTATTTTCCGGAGTGGCTGGACCATTTAACATCACCCACAGGCAGTGTGTGAGACATTGAGTTCCCCTCCATTCTCTTGGTATCATTAAGTCAAGACTGTTTCTTGTAGACATTCTACTAGCCATGTGGTGGTACCTCATCACGGTTTTAATTTGCATTTCCTTAATGGCAAACAATGTTGACTCTCTTACGTGCTTATGTGCCATCCTTATACCGTCTTTGCCAAAATGTTTGTTCAAGACTTTTGCCCATTTTCTAATCGGGTTTTTTGTTTTCTCTCTTGAGTTCAGAGAGTTCTATTCTGGATACAAGTCCTTTGTCTAATAATAAATTTGCAAATATTTTCTCCCAGTCTATGGCTTCTCTTTTCATTCTCTGAATATGGTCTTTCACAGCGTGAAAGTTTTTTATTTTTCCCCTTTTTGCCACCTTGAGATACAATTGATAAAATATAAATTTTCTTCTAATAGATTGTGCTTTTCATGTTGTCTTAAGAACTCTTCACCTGACCCTATGTTCATGAAGATTTTTTCCTTTATTTTCTTCTAAAATTTTCATAATCTTACATTTTTATTTAGACCTATGATCCATTTTGTGCTAATTTTTTGGTATACGGCTAAGGTTCAATTCTTTGCCTTTTTATCAAATTGTTTGAGCACCTTGGTGAAAAGACTTATTCTTTCCCCTTTCAACTGCTTTTGCACCTTTGTCTAGCTATATTTGTGTGACTCTATTTCTAGGTTCTTAATTCCAATTTATTGATTTGTGTGTCTATCCCTTGAGAGATACCACACTGTCTCCATAGTGTGTTTATGTAGTAGTGAGTCTTAAAATCAGGTAGTGCAAATCCAACTTTTTCAAAATTGCTTTAACTTCCCTTGCCCTTCCATATTAACTTTACAACAATAAAGTTGTCCATAACTACAAAGACTTTTCCTGGGAATTTCATAGGAATTGCCTTAAACCTAGAGTTCAGTTTGGAGAGAACTGGTATCATTACTGTGTTCAGTCTTCCAGTACGTGGATATATGGACATCTTGCCATTAATTTAGATCTTATTTGAGTTCTTCATCAGGGTTTTATAGATTTTAGCATACAGATTCTATACATGTTTAGTCAAACATACACCTAAATACTTCTCCCTCCTTCTACTTGCGTCCTCACCCTCTGTATATCCCCCCATTGTAAATTTTATTTTATTTTATTTTAAAGATTATTTATTTATTTAAAATTTTTTTTTAAGATTTTATTTATTTATTTATTTGACAGACAGAGATCACAACTAGGCAGAGAGGCAGGCAGAGAGAGGAGTAAGCAGGCACCCCGCTGAGCAGAGAGTCTGACGCGGGGCTCGATCCCAGGACCCTGGGATTATGACCTGAGCTGAAGGCAGAGACTTTAACCCACTGAGCCACCCAGGCACACCCATCTGTAGATATTCTTTAACAGGTTGAGGAAGTTCCTTCTATTCTTTGCTGAGAGTTTTTTTCATAAATGAATACTAAATTATGTTAAATGTTTCTTTCTGCATTGATTGGGAAGACCATATACATTGTTTTGTTTAGCCTGTTAATATTATGAATGAGAGCTATCGGTTTTTTTATACTGAACCAGTCTGGCAACTTCGGACTAAATTCTACTTGGTGGGCGCCTGGGTGGCTCGGTGGGTTAAGCCTCTGCCTTTGGCTCAGGTTATGATCCCAGGGTCCTGGAATCAAACATCAGGCTCCCTGCTAAGTAGCCTGGTTCTCCCTCTCCCTCTGCCTGCTGTTCCCCTTGCATGTGCTATCAAAGGAACGAATAAAATCTTGAAAAAAAAAAAAAAAAAAAGTAGGGCACCTGGGAGGCTCAGTCGTTAAGTGTCTGCCTTCGGCTCAGGTCACAATCCGAGGGTTCTGGAATTGAGCCCCTCATCGGGCTCCCTGCTTGGTGGGAAGCCTGCTTCTCCCTTTCCCACACCCTCTGCTTGTGTTCCCTCTCTCACTTGTGTCTTTCTCTGTCAAATAAGTAAAATCTCTAAAAAAAATAAAGTCTATTAAAAAATTTTGGTATTTGAGAAAATGCACCTGCACAAGAAGGGGAGAGGCAAAGGGAGAGGAAGAAGCCAGCTCTCTGCTGAGCAGGGAAGCCCCATAAGGATCTCAGGACCCTGAGATTGTGACCTGAGCTGAAGGCAGATGTTTAACTGACTGAGCCACCCAGCCTCCCGGCATTTGCCTATTTCTGTGTCTGTGTGTCATTCTGGTAATTCTCTTGATATTTCAAACTTCTCGTGTTTGTTACAGTGATCTGTAATCAATGATTACAATTCACTGAAAGCTCAGATGATGATTAGCATTTTTCAGCAATAAAGTATTTTCAAATCAAGATGCATACTCTTCTTTAAGACATAATGCCATTGCAAACTTAACAGACTACAGTATGATGTAAACATAAATTTTATAGGTACTGGGAAACAAAAAAAATTTGACCCACTTTCTCGTGATACTTTATTGCAGTGGTTGGGAACCCAACCCATAATATCCCTAAGGTATGCCTGTATTATTCTCTAAGTAAGTATCTTTTGCATATGAGGATCTTCAGTGCTATCCCTACTTTCGTTTCTGGTAATCATAAATTGGGTCTTCCTTCTTTTTTAGGATTTTATATTTAAGTAATCTCTACCCCCAACATGGGACTCTAACAACCCCTGATCAAGAGTTGCATGCTCGGGGTGCCTGGGTGGCTCAGTGGGTTAAGCCTCTGCCTTCGGCTCAGGTTAGGGTCTCAGGGTCCTGGGATTGAGCCCCGCATGGGGCTTCTCTGCTCAACGGGAGCCTGCTTCTCCTTCAGTCTCTGCCTGCTGCTCTACTTACTTGTGATCTCTCCCTGTCAAATAAATAAATAAATAAATAAGTTGCATGCTCTACCAACTGAGCCGGCCAGGCACCTCCAGTTTTCCTTCTCTTGTTCTTGCTTTTTTGCCAGCCTCGCTAGATGCTTATCAACTTTATTGATCTTTTCCAAAGAACCACCTTTTATATTGAGTTTCTCTATTGTTTCTGTGTCCAGTTTTATTGGGTTTTGTTTATTGTTTCTTCACTTCTCTTCCTTTGGCTTTATTTGGCGCTTCATTTTCTAGTTTCTTGAGGGGGAAGCTTAGATTGCACTTCTATTCTTTTACAAATACCCTTCAGGGCTCCTGGGTGGCTCAGTTGGTTAAAGGACTGCCTTCAGCTCAGGTCAGGATCCGGGAGCCGCCAGATTGACTCCGTGGACTCCCTTCTTAGCAGGGAGTCTGCTTCTTCCTCTGAAGCTCTCCCTTCTCATGCTCTCTCTCTCTCAAATAAATAAATAAAATCTTTAAAATACCTTTCAGTGTTCCCAGAACATTCTTTAGCTCCCTGAAGAACTCCTGTTTATCCATCAAAAAATCAGCTCAACGGGCGCCTGGGTGGCTCAGGCATTAAGTATCTGCCTTTGGCTCAGATGATCCCAGGGTCCTGGGATTGAGCTCCGCATCAGGGTTCCTAATCTGCAGGAAGCCTGCTTTTCCTTCTCCCACTTCCCCCTGCTTGTGTTCCCTCTCTCGCTGTGTCTTTCTCTGTCAAATAAATAAATAAAATCTTAAAAAAAAAAAATTAGCTTAAATGTTACTTTGGAGGCAGAACAGGGTTGTGGCCAGCCTCTCCTCCTCACCCCCACATAAACCCCCAAACTTGTGATTATGGAACAATCTGAGGCTAAAAGGAGACCTACAGGATTTAAATGGTGCTAGTTTTCAGGAACCTGACCCCTTTCCAACCTCTAGTCAAATGGGGTCATAAAAATGCCAACTCACATGTGTAGGCTTGAGTTTACAGGGTTATACTGAGTTTCACAGTTACAAAACGAATTATCCTCATCTGAGTGCTGGGGCAACTCAAGCAGATAACAGTTCTAGGTCCCCAATGCAGTTCTAACTCTTTTTTTGTTGTTGTTGTTTTGTTTTGTTAAATGGTCTAACTTTTTTTCTTTTTGGTCTAACTCATTTTTGAAGGAACTCTCCAAAAGCTATACCAACCTGGCCAGGGGAGAAACCCTACCCGCCCTTGGGAGCCACGAATCCCGAGGCGCCGTCCCTCCCTGCCCGCCAGGGGGCGCAGGTCCCTACTGGGGTGGGCAGAGGCAGATGAGCTAGCTGGTGGGTAAAGCTGGGGGGGTGTAGGAGGGTCTATGTGCTCTGAGGGGAGCCTTGAAGGCTGGCCCTAGGGCTCATAGCTTGGGTCCCTAAGGGCTGACTTGGGTGGGGGCTCAGCCCTTCCAAGAGACAGGGGAGAAGAACGCGTCCCCGTGTCCTACAGGGGAGACCAGAGGCAGCGTCTTCTGTCAGCAGGGGCCTTGGGTAGGAGATCGGCTCTGCCAGCTCCGCTACGCCTCCTCCGACCAGAGGAACTGCGATGGACGCGGGAGTCCAGATCTGCCTTCAGGCCCCTTCACCTTCTCGTGAACTCTCAGCTCTCTCGGTTGTCTTTGTCAGCCCCTATACCCAATCCTCCACGCTCCTATTAGAGTCTCCTCTCTCCCTTTCCCCGCTTCAGGACCCTTCCGTGGGCCAAGAACTGGGACGGCCTAGGAAAGCGGACCCTCCCGAGCTTTGACTTGGTACACGCCTCCTGCCTCCGCGCCCCGCTTGCGTGGCGCACACATGGTGGAGCGGGTCTCCCGTCGCTCTCGCGTGACTTAGACGCAGCGCACGGTCGCGCGAGCGCCCAGAGGGGCGGGGAGAACGGAGGCCGGGAAGGCGATTCGTGGCTCGCGGGGACAGGCGCGCGTGCGCACTGCGCCGCCCTTCCCGGAGCCCGGATCCCGGATCCCGGATCCCGGATCCCGGATCCCGGAGTCGTCCCGGCGCCCGCGATCTCGCGATCTTCCAAAGCGCCGCGTTTCTTCTCTTCCTGGGTGGTGTGTATCCGACGCTGCGCGCTCGGTCCGTGCGGGTGGGCGCCGCACTTGAGTGGCCCTGCCGGGAGCGGGCCGCGTGCTCGGGGAGAGCACCGTGGATTGGAGAGTGTAGGCGCGGAGGAAGGGGTTGGGGTGGGGGCCTGAGGTGGGGGGCGATGTCCTGAATGAATAGAAATTGAGGGTGAGAGAGATCCGGGAGCTCGAGGTGAGGGGGAGGGGACCGAGGTTGGGAGCCGAGAGGGGAGTTGAGTGCGCCCCCTTCTGACTGCACCCTTTGGGCTGGAAACGGGGTAGGGAAGGCAGCGAAGTCGCTTGTCACCTCTCTCTGATCTCCTCCCTTTTCCGCGTCAGGGCGCACAGCATGGCGGAAAACCGAGAGCCCCGCGGGGCCGTCGAGGCTGAGCTGGACCCGGTGGAGTATACCCTTCGGAAGCGGCTCCCCCACCGCCTGCCCCGGAGGCCCAATGACATTTACGTCAACATGAAGACTGACTTTAAGGCCCAGCTGGCCCGCTGCCAGAAGCTGCTGGACGGAGGGGCTCGGGGTCAGAACTCATGCAGTGAGATCTACATTCATGGCCTGGGCCTGGCCATCAACCGTGCCATCAACATTGCCTTACAGCTGCAGGCGGGCAGTTTCGGGTCCTTGCAGGTGGCTGCGAATACTTCCACCGTGGAGCTGGTCGATGAGCTGGAACCAGAGACTGATACACGAGAGCCTCTGACCCGCATCCGCAACAACTCGGCCATCCACATCCGGGTCTTCAGGGTTGCACCCAAGTAGTGGAAACGAGGATGGCCACCTTACCCGCCCACCCTCACATAACTAGGCTCAGATATGGCTCTTCTTGTACAGAGGACTCTGAATTGAGAGGGAGAGTATTGTCTCTTGTTGGGCCCAAGCAGTGGGTCTTCCCAGTCTTTGTGGTCTGTAACCATCGTCCTAGGCAATAAAAACTACCAAGTTGTGTTAGCATGCAGCCACCCCACTGCCATTGTTTCTCCCCTGTGTAAATTCTGTATGTATGGGGCAAGGGAGAGTAGGAACCTTTACAAGTATGTATGTACAGGAGGGAACCCCAAGTGTTTCCTGCCTCAGCAGAGTGCATTAGTAGTACTATGGACAGTGTAACAAGCAAAACCCTGGGAATCCCAGTGTTTGCTTTGAATTTTTTGGTACTCTAAGAAGCAGGTGGAGTGGATAAGGTATACACTCTTGGCTGCTGAAAGCGCAGCTGGGAGGGTTGTATGCTCAGGAAGCAGCTGGCTTTTTTTTTTTTTTTTTTTTTTTTAAGATTTACTTATTTATTTATTTATTTGACAGACAGAGATCACAAGTAGGCAAAGAGGCAGGCAGAGAGAGAAGGGGGAAGCAGGCTCCCCGCGGAGCAGAGAGAGCCTCAATGCTGGCCTCCATCCCAGGACCCTGAGATCATGACCTGAGCCAAAGGCAGAGGCTTAACCCACTGAGCCATGCAGGCACCCCAGCAGCTGGCTTTTGATGGCGGTTCCCAGGACGAGGAAAGGGAGAGTTTAAGGATGAAGGGAGCAAAGACTGGGACCTCCTTTGTGACAGGGAGTAACACTGCTTTATTTGATCCCGGGTCCTGCTGGGCCCAAGTGGTTTCAAGCAGCTGTGGTGCAGAGCCCTTTAGACACACCTGGGTGTGCTGCTCCAGTGGGAGAGGAGAGCCCCCTGCCCGAATTACTGGGCACACAGGTAATAAGTATTTTTTGCTTGGGTATTTGGTTTTGTTTTTTTTTTTTAAGATTTTTATTTATTTATTTGACAGAGAAAGATCACAAGTAGGCAGAGAGAGAGAGAGAGGAGGAAGCAGGCTCCCCGCCAAGCAGACAGCCTGATGCGGGACTCGATCCCAGGACCTTGAGATCATAACCTGGGCCGAAGGCAGAGGCTTAACCCACTGAGCCACCCAAGCGCCCTTGCTTGGGTATTTGTAAGGGGATTTGATTTCTCATGTTTATCAAGCTAAAGTCATTGAAAGCAATGTTTGTCAAAGTACGTGGTGATCCATTTTGGGTCTCGAAATCAATTTACTCGGTCCTAGGCTTTTGGAAAGTTCTTTCTCTTTACAGAAACAGACCTGAAATGGTAATGTTTTGTTAGTGCTTTTCAGTTACAGATCTGTGTGTACTACACACGGGCTAGTTACAATATAAATTGTTTTTTTTTAACTGTGGATGCAAGTCAAAAGAGTTTGAAAGCCTCTGATCTAACAGTAACAGAATTTTACTCTAGTTTGCTTGCATGCTTTGGGATTCTGAACATCAGGCTTCTCATTTATCAAAATCCTTCCCTCCAGCTTGGTTATTCCTGTCGAGGGACTTAGATTCTGGGTGATGACTGCCAGCAACTCCAGAAAGACTCCTAACAGGAGGACTCGTGCTTCATTCAAACAAACATGCTGAGTGCCTACTGTGGGCCAAGGCCCCGGGGTGGGCCCTGGAGATACAAAACCAGTTCAAAAGCCCCTGCCTTTAAGGAGCTCCCCCATTTCATTGGGAAAGGTAGATACGCCCATTTTTGCGAGTGAAGTGAGTTATGTAAGAAATAAGACTAGCCATGATTTGAAAATGTGGAGAGTGAGATGGCTAATGGGTGGGGTCCAAAATGGCTTCACCTTTGACCTTGGGTATTGAAGGATGAATAGGAGTTTGCCAGGCAAAGAGAAGAGAGGACATACCTAGCAGAGGGGTCCGCATACACAAAGGGGGTTCATGAATAGGGTGTGTTGTGGGACTCAAGGGTCACTCAGGGTGGCTAGAAAGCAGGAGGCACCTGGGAGGCTTAATGGAGACAAGACGAGAGGCATTTCTTTCCGATCCCCCCCACCCTCCATACCGCCCACCTCGTTCCCCTGTCAGCCTTGACTGACTGCAAGGCTCCCTTGCCCCGGAGCCCCCCAGTAGCAGCATGGAGATCCAGCAGGGAGCTTGCTGGAACTATGTGTCTCCCTGCACGTATGTGTTCTTGTCTCTCTGTGCTCCTGGCCTGGGCCCAGCCGAGGTGGTGGCAAGTAGCCCTTTTGCATTTGGTTTGTTTTGGAAGCTACCATTCCCAGCCTATTATTATTTCTACTCCCTTTCTCTCACTGCCTGCCAGCGGGGCTTCCCTCAGTGGCAGGTCTTCGGAAACAGCCCCTAGACATCGCTGCTGAAGGAAGAGAGGGTTAGGGAGCTCACTCTTTCACATCTGTGGGCAGGTAGGGAGCATGGTGAGTTTGAAATGCCCCCCCCACCCCACCCCCCAGCTTCAACGCCAGATCCGCAGAGGCCAGAATTGAAATGCTTTGTTTCGGGGCACCTGGGTACCTCAGTGGGTTAAAGCCTCTGCCTTCGGCTCAGGTCATGATCTCAGGGTCCTGGGATCGAGTCTCGCATCGGGCTCTCTGCTCGGCGGGGAGCCTGCTTCCTCCTCTCTCTCTCTGCCTGCCTCTCTGCCTACCTGTGATCTGTCAAATAAATAAATAAATAAAAATCTTTAAAAAAAAAAATAAAAAAAGAAATGCTTTGTTTCGGAGGAGGATACAGACCTCTGCTCAGAATCTGTAGCATTACTGAGCACGGGCTCATAGGGATCTGTGTTAAGCACCTGGCCTTCCCAGAAAGGTATAAACCAGTCCTCTAAAGTCAACAGGGTGTAAGACAGATTTTAAAAAGACAAATAATTGGCATAGTGCTTGGAACTGTCCCTAGCATTAGCGTAGGCTCCATAAGCCATAGAAGCTACTATGGTTAACATGAGCCATTTTGCAAAGAAATTTCGGGCCTCTTCGTGGGAATAGGGAGAGGGGAAGAAAGGTCATTGGTGCGGGTTTGGCTTACAAGGCCAGGACTTCTAGTTCTGTTAGCTCTTATGTTTATGGCTTGCCCAGCAGGGAAGAAAACAGGCCCTCAGGATACAGGAACTGATTTGGATGGGATGATGATCCTCCTAGGGAGGTCCTTGTCCTCTGTCTCAGGTTGAGTTCCTGGTGTCTGGTTGGGAGTTGGCAGAAGGATGGCGTGTTCTGGAAACGCTTGAACCTCTGGAGAAGTTGGACTAAAATTTTGGACTCAGTGTAGTTCCTCAAGGAGCAGATGTCCCACTACATGGAGGTTTGGGATGAAGTGAAGTAATCCTACCAAGCAGATGTCCGGACGTGACCATTTAAGACTCTGTCTTCCTGGGGTGCCTGGGTGCCTCAGTCGGTTAGGCATCTGCTTTCGGCTTGGGTCGTGATCCCAGGGTCCCAGGATCAAACCCCACTTCGGGCTCCCTGCTCAGGGGGGAGGTCTGCTTTTCCCTCTGCCCCTCACCCTGCTCATGCTCTCTCTCTCTCACTCTCTCAAATAAATAAATAAATAACTAAAAAAAAAAAAGAAATCCTCTGCCTTCCTAATGGCATTATAAGTGCTTTTTATTCATATGTTTTGGGTTAACCATATTTCCAGTTTTCAACGATCACAGATCATTTTTATAATAAGAAAACAATTTTTCGGGATGCCTGGGTGGCTCAGTGGGTTAAGCCTCTGCCTTCGGCACAAGTCATGATCTCAGGGTTCTGGGATCGAGGCCCACATCGAGCTCTCTGCTCAGCGGGGAGTCTGCTTCCCCCTCTCTCTCTCTGCCTGCCTCTCTGCCTACTTGTGATCTCTCTCTCTCTCTCTCGAATAAATAAAATCTTTAAAAAGAAAAAACAAACATTAAGTTTTTATAAAGCTTGTTTCTTTGTTCTCTAGGTGGGGTGATCAGGGGAGTTAGTTATCAAACTGATGAGATAATCCCAAGGAGAAGTGATTTCACTGCCCAATCCAATAACTAATAAATATCACCACGAGGACAGATGCACTGACCACTCTCTAACAAGCCTCTGCTTCCTCGAGAAACACCAAATGTCTTGCCACAGCAAGCCAAAGGTGGACCTTCGCTTTCATGGGACCTCCTCAGTCCTTTCCAGTTCAGAGTCTGTGAATTTTGTTCACTGCCAGGAAAACATACTTTCCTGAAAGTGTTAAACTCATTTGCTGGTTCATGAACTAAGACAAAAGCAGAAAAGCTCTGTTATATACAGATCAGGAGATGCCTCTGGGGTCAAGTAAATAGGTTCTTGATATTTGTTGGTTCTCAGTGAACCATGAACCATTCAGGAAAATATTCACTAAATTTGGATGCTTAGGAGTAGGTCTAAGGCTTCTGTAACCTTGCCTTGAGGAGATCTTGACCTATATTCTAAGTAGAAAGAGCCTATAGGCTTGATACCTCCCTCTTAACCCACCGGCAACGTCCACAGTGACTCCATTTCACCCAGTGGTGTTCAAGGGCAAGTTTCTCCAAAGTGCAGTCAGCACCTGGACCCTTGGATACCTCCATCCACACCCCACAGTTCTCGTGACACCTTCCGGTGAGATGCTTGGGGGTGGGGGGTAGCTACAACAGCAGAGATACGGTGCCATTAGCCTGTGCCCAGCTCCCCAGAGGGAACAGGGGAGGATGCTGGAGGAAGTCCGGAGAAGATGCTGGAGGTTTGGTCTCTAGCCCTCCAAAGGGAGGACAACTAGGAGGGGTGCTGAAGCAGAGCTCATGCAGTAAGAACAGCCAGGCTTTATTGATCACCCTCCTCCGGGTGTTACATAACCCAGGACAGCGGGGGGAAGCAATTACTAGCATCCGCCATCCGTAGGCTCAAAATTAAAATCACTAGTCCAAGCCGGCTCCTCGTAAGTGGCAGAGCTCAGGCCACTAATCTGGGCTCCCTTGTTTACAGGACCCCGTTATGCTGCTGGGCCGCACAGCCAATGCTTGTTGAGAGAAGACACCTGGATGTCCGGTTCTCCCAGCTACTTTATGGCCCAGCAAGCAGCCCTTGCCTCAGTTTCTCCAAATCGGCCTTTGGACAAGACTTTCTTTGGTTCTCCAGCAGGAATCTGTTCTCCAGCCTTCTTGTTCTTTTCCCAACTCCCCAAGGGCCAGGAAGCCCTCCCCCCACCATA